TGTTTTTTGTATTTTTTGTATGGTGTTAATTTTCATGCTTTAATGTGTACTGGTTTTGTAAAGTGTGTAAAGTAGCTGTGACTTATCAATCAGTTTAAAGAAGATATAGACTATACTTGACAACTGTCAATTTTTAACAAATGATCTTTTTGCCTTTGTTTTACTTGGACCTCCAATGCTGCCCCCATAAGTTTTGTTTTACGATCTGTATTTATGTGGCAATTACCAATTAAAAGTAACTTCTGTCACTGAATTTGGTCCAAGTGGACTGTAGTAACCTTTATATGTGGATGTATTCAAGTAAGAAGATTGGTTTAAATTATCAGTTTGTCTATTTTTTAGGACTTTAGTATTTCAATATTAGAGATGTCTTCTGAAGATTGTAGCAGCAGTAGAATACCTTTGCTTTTGAAAATGCAGTTTACCATGAGTTTTATACAGACTGTCCAGGAGTGAGAGTGGGACATTCTAAGTGCAAAAGTTTGATTTTAGAATCTGTTCGATAAGGAAGGGTAGCCCATTCTCTAAAAATGGGCTATCCCAATTTTGAACATCCGAGGGAGTTCTACTTGAAAAGGAAGTCTGAATTTTAATCTTGTGGATTTATTTAATGGCGCTAAATTAACATTTTAAAAATGGATTTTGTAGAATTCAATTATTAGGAGAAACACTTTGCAAAGCCATATACAGGAATAGTCAAGCACCACATGTTAGTTTCAGAATGTGTATTTCCCAAGCAAATAGAATTTACTTCACCAAAAAGATTTTTTGCACAATTTATAATACTTACAGAAATATGATTGTATCACTAGAGGGAAATAAAGCTCACCTTCCTAATGATACATTTCACACTCACTAGTGCAACTCCTTAATTTTTGGGGGGATACAGAAGAATAATCTGTCAATAGAATATAATTGCTTATTTCTAATTAGATCTAAGAATGAATGCATACTATTATTTAAAGTACTATCGAATTTTGAAGAACTGCTCAATAAATTAATATGTAAAATTGTATTCTTTGCAATAGATTTGTCTCAGCGCAAATGCAGAGTAAAAAAATAAAATTATTAAAAATACACCAAATAATAGAGATTAGTTTTTATTACTTTAAAATCCTACTAATGTCCATTAGCATTAAATCCAACACCAATTATCTGTAAAATATAACTAAAATTTTGAAAGTCTTGCACACAAGAGGCTTCTTCAAAAATGCCTTTTTGACAAAAACAGTTTCTGTGACCTCTTTAATTATTATATTTCTTTAGGAGTACTGTGAGGCACTTTCAAAGACATAGCTATAGCAGTTAGGTCTAAATTTAGAGCAGAACGTTCTGTCAGATACTTTACTATATCAAAATGTTGTAGTACTGTATTTTATAATAAAACCAAATTCCCAAGTATCCTGGTCTGTTGCATATTATTATACCAAAAAAAACACCACTTTCTATAAGTCTATTATTGTATACATAATATTTTTTAAAAATAATGGATATTTCAGTCCGAGCATGAAAGTATAGTACAATACGTGACATTAAATTGATCTTTAGTCAAAATCCATCAAAGTATTTGACAGGGAAACTAGCAATCATATTCTTAAATGTATACATTTTTTTCAAGGACAGAAAGGCAAATGATAATACATAAAGACATAGTCACTGGGGCAAGTTAGTTGGTATACAGACTGAGAAGGATCAATTTGCAAATCTCATCAGATTGTAGCTTTGTTATTTATTGTTCCTGGAGGGGAAAGTGCTGCAGTCAGTTGATGCTGCCTCCTTTCCACCTGGGGGGTTTGCTCACAGCCACTGCATGGTATGATGAAATCTCTTTGGAAGCGGGGATTGAGTTGAAGCTTAGAGATGCACCTTACTGTTTTTAAAACTGCTGTTACAACGTTCTAAACACTGATCTTTGCGAATGTGTTTTCTGTATTAGTTTTGTAGAAAATAATTTGCCGTAAACTGGACTCTATAGTGTTTAAAATAATGTTATTGGCTTATCACCCCTCCCCCAGTTTATGTAGTCTACTTAATAATCTAAAAACTTGTGATAATCCTTTGCCTTAAAATAAAATCTAATGCTAAATACTGAGTGAGCTCTAATTAATAATTCTAAGCTACAAATTAATTTTTTTTTTTAAAGCTTAAGACCATGTCAAATAAAATATTACAAAAATACTCTGGGAGAGTGTTGCTGCCTATTCTGTATTTGTGACAGTGTGTGTATCTTGATCCAGGACATGGTGGCTGGTTGGGTTCTATAAATAGATATTAGTAATCCTTTTAGAGAATGGGCCTGGTACCTCTCAGCTGTTGGCTGAATCCTCCCCTTAATCCTTATAAATAGATTTTCCCATGCCACCTAAGAATGAAGAAAAGCAGCCCTTCATATTCTTGCCCCTCACAATTTTTTCTTGATATCTACCGAATCTTCACATTCTATTTGTGTTGACATCATTTTCCTAAATAGAAAAATGCCAGAGATGCCTGCAGATTAGTAGAATCATCTAATTTCAGTAGAGAAAGGGATTGTATCATTATTAAAGTCTAATCCCTTATGGAAGAGATTAGGACCTGAATTTTAGATTTAAAAGAGATCTGCTCAAGCTCTGATGGACAAAGTGGACTGAGCTCATCCTGATATCCAGAATGTCACAAGTTCAGTGAGTATTGGGGCTGGCACACACCAGCCAGTAGAGGTATGCCCTAGGCTAGAAAACCACTTCCTTATTAGGTCCTGATCTTTACCCTGCCTGAGTTAGTCACAGTTATAGAGGAATAAATTTTGTGGAGTTTTTCTGGGAGAGATGACGTTGGCTCCTAAGGATTATGTCTGATGCTTTCACCATTGGAAGCAATGCTTCAGACCATTGTATTTGGAAGGCTGAGGGGCATGCTACTTGGCCCAGTGAAAAGGTAAATCCTGGGTGCATGACAATACACTTGTACTTTGAAAAGCATCTGTGTGGTCATGTTATTTTTAAATGATCGTAAATGCTGGCCCTTTGAGGAACTGGTCGTTCTCTAGGCCCAGAAAATAGAGCCTGGGCTGGAAAGGTGTCCAGACCCAAAGTCTGGGCCCCGTTGGTTGCTGTTTTTCCAAGGGATGCGAACGTTTTCTAACACGAGTTCTCTAGGACCCAGCGGCTGCGCGCGGGGCCAGCAGGGCCACCGGAGGCTTTAGGGTTCCTGCGCGGGCTGCCGCAGGGTGCGGGT